GAATTACGCATAAACTCAAATGTTGACTTTTCTAACGTGGTCAGTTTTTTAAATAGAAAAAACAGACTTTAAAAAAATAAATAATCTATCCGAATTTTAAAAAAAAAAAAAAGTAATGTTTCCATTTAAAAAAATGTAAGTTGTATTGCACATGCGCATACCAAAAGTGTAAAAAATTTGAAAATCATAAATAAATGTGCATTTAAGTACCCCTTATAGCAGGGGTCAGGAATTTTTTCGAAGAAAAGAGTCATTTTTTAAAAAAAAAATTACTAACCATGATATCCAGAGAGCCGCACAGGTTTAAACAATTTTTTTTTTTTTTTTTGTTATAGCTGTTAGAATAAACTATAGATAAAGACGTAGGTACCTATAATATAATTTATATTTTACTGGTCTCGATAAATTGATGAATTTTCCAAAAAGCCACAGATTGCATGTTAAGGAACCGCAGGTGGCAGATTCCCGACCCCTGCCCTAGGTCCACAAAAATATATTCACTTCAATACAAATTCGTCCAGCTAAGATATTTAGTGGTACCTTGAATCGTGATCATACTGTAAATATATATATATATATATAAACATATTGTATTAAATTTCTCCCCTCTCCGTCATCAATATAGAATGTAATAACTTAAAGGAACAACTTTGAATGATATTGATTTAACTGTAGTATTCGATATACAAAATAGAATCTTCATATTTCAACTTAGGTCATCATTAGTATAAAGGTAACTACTTAACAATTTACAAAATGAAAAATTGTAGCTAATAAATGTGTAAGTAAAATTGTACAATAATTGATACAAAAAAAATTACAGTAAAAAATGAATCCTTAAGTGACCATTTCTCTCTAAATAAATTTTAAAAAACATTTACATATATCCGTGCATTAAAAATTTAATTTTTTCTCATATAGCTAAAAAAAATATTAGTAAATAATTTTGTTCTCAAAAATGAATGTATACTAGAATTCAAATTAAATATTATCATTATTAATAATTATGTTCGAATATTTTAATAAAAATTATACTACTTGAAATACGTTTAATTAATTTTATTTATAATAATTTTATTCACACATTTAATTAGCTAAAATTAACCAATAACCTTAATTGATATAATTGCATGAAAAATCAAATAAATCAATAAAATATTGACATAATAATATTATTATTATTTTATCATATTATGATATTAGACATATTACCTACGTAGAATAATGTATAGTCGTACAGAATAAACTGTGTGTGTATACGTGTGCGTGTGTATGTATGTCAATTACACCAATTTTATTGTTTGATTCTATTTCTGATCAAATAATGGGAACTCTGGAACTCACATGTCGTACTTTGGTTAAAGCTAAACCAAAGTTCTATAATTGATCTTAAAATAATTATACAATTTTTGTACAGACATCTTGAGCTCTAAGTGCGTCGACTAGAAATCCTAATCAATTATTTACAACTAATATTTGTATTAATTATTATGTAATTAATGCGACTATAAACTAATAGTTCTAATCTACTATAACTACAGATATTTTATAAATACTTAAAAGTGACAATTTAGTTTTTTTTAGTAACTTTTTCAATCTAATTTTGAATTTACACTATCGTTGTTACACTTAATATTATATTTTTATAATCATCTACTACTTAAACTGAAGTAAACAAATAAGTAATAGTCACTTTAATTTTACTTAAAATGTATATTTTATTTTGCATTTCACGCAATATTTCGTATTTCTACTCCCAATATTATATTATAACTAATATTATTAGTCCCACTGAATTTCAACCTCTCAACTTTTCAGTTCAAAAAATCAAACTCAATTTTTGTATTACAGTGAATATTAATTAATATGTATGTGTAATGTATATCATTCATAAATAAAATAAGTATTAAATTGTATATATTAAAAATTTATCAAATACAAAAATATTAAAAAAACTTATGTTAGTAACTTTTTAATTGAAACATTAATTTGATAAATTTTAATATAAACATAGATAACTCTTTTTATAATCAGCATAATTTTTCACCTTAAGCAAAACCAATTTTTTAATCCTACTATCGTCATTTTTTTTTAGTGTACCAGCATTTGAAAAATTTTATGATCTAAATTAGAAATGATTTTGATTAGTATTTTCAAGAAGTATTTTTTTTCATTTTTTTTTTTTTTATAAGTATATTTATTAAATGTAATTGAATATATCTAAAAACTACTCACAACTACTCAAAATATTGGAAAAAATGTAAATAACCTTAATTTTTACTTAACCTTGCGTTCATACGTGATTACTCTAAAACTGACTTATATTTTTAAAAATCAAATGAAAATTAAGTACACTATGTTCAAAATATTTTGGGCGAAATAAAAATATAAGAAATAAATATAGCATAAAAAAACAATAAAAACAAAATATCAGTCAGTACTTAGAATTTAGTATATTATAGTAATTTTATAAACGACAATTGTTATATAAAATTAAAACATAATTAACAATAAATGATAAAATAGGTATGTAAACAATAGCTAATGTATATAATATCTACTCCCCAAAATATACATTAATTATAGTTTTATTTGTTTTTAAAAGAAATTTAGATACTATCATCCACTTAAGACGTTAACAATTAATATATTATGTATAATTGTATTGTTTTTAGGTAATTTTGCTTATATTAAAATAAAACATCGATAAGACGTATACCTATGTATAATTGGCCATTTAGAGAAGTGTCTTTGCTTTCCTCATATGAGATACTATAGCGTAGCAAAATTATTTTACATTTATTATCTGTAAATCCATAGGTAAAAATGAGCTAAGCCCTTCTTTTCCTTCCAAATGTTTTTTGTGTTTTACATAATATATATATATATTTTTTTTTTTTATGGTTATTGACGAACTATTGAGTATTGATAGTATTATTATTACAAATTTTAAAGCAACAAGTCACATTATAAATACTTGTAATAAAAATAAGTTTAAATCAGAAGATATAAAATAATGTTTATCTAAAACTATTGATCCAAATTTATGTGAACTACCTACAACAAGTGGCAATAACACTGTCATTCAATTCAGTGACATGTTCAAATTTCAACGAAGCTTTTCTGCAAAGAAATATATCAATACTAAACTGAGAACTTTAATGATTCAAAATTATTTCAAATATCTGTCCATCCCCAATATTAAAAACAGTTGTTATATTGATAATTAAGGTATTCGAAAAAAAATAAGGAAAAAATGTACTATACTCGTAATAATTGTTTTGTGATATTCTTAATACTTTAATACTTTTAATTTTGTTATTTTTTTAAACAAAAATTGTAAAATAAAATACATGTAAATAAATACATCTTCATTTAATTTTATTTAATATTTATTTATTTATTTAAATAATATTATTATAACTGTACGATGAAATAAAAATTAATATAATTCAAAATTATACTAGTGTTTTTAGATTATTAGCCTCCTCTACGTCTTACAATAATTTTAAACAACCTACGGTTGTTCAAAAAATTAAAGATTGTAAACAATATGATTTTACCTAACGCTCATAAACTTGATTACGTATACCTATACATTTTAATATAGCCAAGGTTAGGTTATCTATGATTAGGTTATCATTAGGTTTCATTCTAAAAATCAAATAAAAATTTAAAAATAATTACAGAATATTCAAATTAATAAAATTTAAAATACAATTAATGCATTGAAAGAAACACCTATGTATAATGATTGAAATTCAGTGTTTAGTAATTATGTTTAAAAATAATTTTTAATTTATTGAATAACATAATATTATCAATAATAATGGGTATAGTTAGGTATTATCGTTTTGAATTTCAGATAATCACAATTTAATTTTCAATGTTTTCAACAACATATTATATTTATTTACATTATACTTTATTTTATTAAATTTTCTTTAAACACAATTTTTTATTTTTATTTTTTCTTTCATTAAACATACGGTTATACATTAATTAAACTTTCGTTGGTTATTGGTTGACAGGTGATAAAAAATTGGAGAAGTGTCATTGTATTGTTTCTCATTTTTACTTGAATGTAGAGAAGTTATTTTGTTATTAAAAAATAAAGTAATTTCATCACAATTTTATTTGAGTAACGAGTGAAAGAACTTCAGTATTTTATCCCTAAATAACGAATGAAGTAATTTAATTACCTTTTAAAAGCAACTTACTCCAACACTGACACGCCGATAGGTAGTTTAAAATCAGTAGGCAGGTCCCTAATACTATTTTACTTTCTCAGATTCAAAATGTTACTTTCAATAATTAGGCATTTTCGTAACTAATATCCATTTTACAATAATACAAAAAGATTTTCATTTTAATAGCATAAATAATTGATAATAAATTGAATTAAAAATAATATTCAAAGATGATAAAAATTAGAACAAATTATGGCCATAATACACAATATGCATATAAAACCATTTACTAACTTTTATGTAAAAATAAAATTCACATGCCAAAACGTTATCAATGAAATACATTTAATTTAGATTAAAAAGTTTTTTTTTAACAAATTTCTAAATAAATACTAAAAAATATTTTCTAGCCAATAAATAAAAAAACATTCATTTAAAAATTCGTCAATTTAATTTATGAAATTTTTATGATTGAGTATACACCTCCTTATCGTCAACACAAGCTATAAACAAATCTATTTAATTATTATTATGTCCTGTATATTGTATTGTTTTAAATAAGTTTTTTTTATCATAAAACATGTATATATACTATATTTTAAATGGATAATTTATAAAAAAGTATCACTTATATAAATATTTAATTAACAATTATTATTGTAATATTATAAAAGCGTGGAATAATAGTTATACGTTGTATTTATAATTATACGAAAAAAATGTAATTCATTTATTTAATTCTTACTATATAAAATTTTAACTTTAATGTAAAAAAAAAAAATTTAAAAAAATATGTTTATTTTCCCTTACTGTAAGTGAGACTGTTGATCTAATATCCATTAGGTAAACATCTGATATAAAATAACTAACACATCTAAATTGACATCTTAATAATTCTTAAAAAGTCTAGGAAAAATAATAAATTTCAAACCACACGACGAATAACACAATAATATTGAAAAAACAAACTTAAAATCACGTAATACCGACACAACGACGGTAGTCGCACGCGCGACGGCAACGTACGAATGCGCTTTTACGCGGCAACGTGTATGATCCCCAAAGATTTCCGAACGCGCCATCGTTTTTGTTTACTTCCATCCGCCACGGCACCGCGCTTGATCGCGTGTTTCAAATTACTCCGGCGCGCGCATTCACTACACCTACCGCTTTTTTAAAACTGTTTCGGTATAATAGTAATTGTATGGTCAACAAGAAAAAAAAACTTGTCTAATAGGTATCAATCATGACGTATAATAAAATGTATCTTATAGGTACTATTAATATTATGAATACGAGAGTAACTCTGTCAGTAACGTTTTCACGACTATATAGTACCAACATCAATGAAATTTGTTACGGAAGTAATTTGAACCCTGAAAAAAGAGCATAAAATACTTCTTTTTAACTTACTGGTGATGGCGAATCACGATCAAATTACTGATATACGATCAAAACCATATAGGAAATATTTAGCGACAAAATATTTTAAATTATTTAAAACAATAACGATTTTGATATTCTCAGATTGTATCTTATTATAATGGTACCCAGCGACAAAAAATAATATATGAAAATGATTGTAAACGAAAATTTAATATTTATCTCGCGAATTCATACATAAAATATCTAAACTAGTAAATAATAATATATTAATATCAACTACCAAATAACATAGTATGCTAGAATTTTAAAATTGTATTGAAATTATAAAACCAAATTAAATTTTATATACCTAACTAGTTATGTGCGAAAGTATAGCTGTGCAATATAGTAATATTGAAAAATATCTAAATATTAACTACTAGGTATTATTAAATTACTTAATACTACTAATACATAATACATTTAATTATAAAATGTTTGTATTATTATTGATACTTTTACCTATATTAAGGACACCGAATGTAAATTATGAAAATTACATAAATTATACTCATTAAAAAATATTACAAAAGATAAAAATTCTAACATTACTGTAAAAACTGATATGTTCAAATGTGTTTAAATTTAAATAAAGCCATTACAACTATACAATTATTTTCACTATATTTATCTCATAATAATAAGTCTTTTAATTTTAGAAAAATAAAAAAGTTCATATCTCTTAAATAAACATTATAAATAAGTACTTAATTCAAAATTAGTTTAAACCGAGATAATCGATATTCTCGATTTCCTTGATACAACCTAACTTAGATAGTTATAGATATTAGATCATAAAAGTAAACTAAAATATTTAATTTTAAATTTTAAATATATATTATTACTAGAAGCCAATTTAGTATTATAAAATGAAAAATAAATTCAAACTTAATAAAAATGTTAGTCACATTTTATACAAGTTGAAACCTTGTAAGAACTATATACAGATTTAAGAAACTAAACATAGGTATACTCCATTTCCTGATATTAAATGAATCTATACATATAATTTATGACGAAAAACATTATAATTAAGTTAAAACTATATGGTATACAATTTTAAATAAATTAAATAATATAACTATATACAATACAATTTAATTGACTACATTTTAGGTTCCAAGAGGAGCGATGAATGTATTAATTTTACAATGAAGTATGTGTGTTTTTTTTATGTTATTATTTTTGTGTTTGTCATCACTTTTTTGACCAGTAAAAATGCTTTAACTTTTAACTTTATTTGAAATCCCTGATTGTAATGTGTATTTAATTGATACTTTGATAGTCAAAAACAAAAAAAATTAAGTATTTTTCAAAATAATTGGAAAAACCAAAAAATTTAAAAAAAAAAAAAAAAACAGGAATTTTGAAGCCAAACCAATTTTTGAAAATATTGGTCGTTTTTTTTATTTTAACTCAAAAATTAAATAACTAAATCATAAAAATCAACAAACTATAAACTATTGCTTGGAAAAGAAACAAAAATAAAAACAAGTTGTAAATAATTTAAACGTATTTCTTTATTTACGTATATTGTAATATACGATAAAAATTTAAAATCTCTATACTAATAGTTTTTACACCCATCAAATCAATTTAATTTAAATATTAAATCATCATGGTAAACTAGAATACTTAATTTTAAATAAGTATTATTATAAACAGCCAATTTAATATTATAATAATAATAATATTTTTATTAACAAAATAAAAATTCCAATTTACTTAAGTTATACTAAAAATTAATACAAATAATTAAGAAAAAAGAAAATGTTATATAATATATACTTATTAGAATGTTAGTTAAATTATAATATACAAAATAAATTCATATTAAATAAATACTCGTATAAAATGTCATATATGCAAAAAACGTTTAAAAAACTAAATATAAAGGTTTTAACAACTAAACGTATACTTTATTTGCGCTGTTACTCAATAAATCTATGTAATTATTAATAAGGGAAAATTTCGTGGAAACATTTAAATAGTATGATATACATAATTTTAAGTTAAATAAATAATACAACTATACTAAACAAGATAAAAAATTTAAAAGACTACATTTTAAATTAAAATAGAGCAATTGATATATCTATTTTGTATTGATTAGAATGATTTATTATAAAATTCAAATTTAATACATGTATAACGATAATTTACATAATGTCAAAGTATACTCGACTACTATTGTAACTGCTCTGCTCAGCTATTTTTCAATTTTTTCGATTTTATTTTAATAACTTTATAAGCATACTCGTAGACATTAAGAGACTGCTAATTTAAAAATACAAAAAATGTAAAAAACTAATGGGTATATGTTATAGTATTATCCCTTTTATAATAAAAAAATAATAATAATAAACCCATAAACATTGCTTGGAAAAAACAATTTTGACTTGAAGTTATATTATAGAAACAAATTAAAAGTAATTTAAATTTATTTTAACCTTGCGGTGATTTAAAAATATTCAAGCTTTACCAAAAACCATACATATTCTAGATCCTAACAGGCATATTTTAGAGCCATCGCGGTTAGGTTAGGTTACGTTTTCAAACTCTCTAATTTTACTTCAGAAGATAATTTTAATTATTCTTTGTTCAAAAAAAAAAAAATAGATAAATTATAAATACCGCTGTCCATTCCAACTTCAACCTTATAAATTCACCATAACAAACTTCAAATAATAAATAATCATCAACATTCACTTATCATATATTATTCCAAGGTATTTTATAAATAATATACTAAGAGAAGGTATTATTTTATAATTAATAACAGTAGAGACTTCAGACTTATGTATAATTGCACAAGAATGTATAATTGATTATTTATAATAAAAATAATAAAAATAATAAAAATAAATAGATACATTTTCAACATCATTAAAGTTCATTACTAAAAAAAGCTATTATCGAAAATGAATAAAAGAACCAATAATAATTAATCAATAATATATAGTCGTTGCTTTGTTTTTTTTTAAACATGATATAATCTTGAATACCTATCGGTATTCTGCTGTCACTAGATGACATTAACCATTTAAATAATGAAAAAATATAATTCATGCAAAATGTTTTAATAAAATAAAAAACAAGACAAATACGTTCCAAATGCTTTTTTCGTCTAATTAATTTTGTAATGATATACAGATAAAAACTGAAACATTTTCGTTACACTGAACCAACTCGAAAAAAAATAAGATAAAAAAAACAATCCCTAATAAGATTATAATTAAACGGAGTTCTGTGATTGATAAATATTAAATTATGTCGTTTAATAAAATATACATATAAGTTTAGGTTAGGGAAGATGTATATTAGTATTATATTATCACATGAATATTTTCGACCTAAAACTAATGAATTGTAAAATATTTTTATTTTTTTTTAATTATATTATTAGATATTTGTAACTTAGTTTACCGTACTATGATGTAAATACTAAAAAATGCATAGAACTCGTTGGCCAATGGCTATTTTCAATCATCCAAATATTTTTTTTATAAAATTATTGGTAGATAAGTACTAATTTAGATACTTAAAACTTTAGCAAGCTATAAAGTAATAAATAAAATATTATTTATTATTTGAATATTAATTTATTTATTGTATGTTCAATAAAAACAAAATTGTAACAGCATAAATAAAATAGAAAATATTTTTACTATATTCTAATTTAAGAGACATTTTTCTAATAATTTAGTGCCTTGATGAGGAATACAAACTAGTAGTTAATGAATCGAATGCATTTTTAAATAATCAATTCATTGATATATATTATTTCAAATAAATTAATAAAGATTAAATACACTGCTAACCCAAATCAATTAAATTGAATATAAACATGAGAATTAGTTAAATTTTAAAATAAACTAATAAATCCATTTAATATAAAAAGAAAATGTTTTGGAAAATATAAATTATACTGTTAATACAAGTTACCAAACTTTAAGTTGTTCATAATACTTATAATAAAACTTAAAAAAAAGTAAATAAAATTAAAATTGTCATTAGAATAATAATAAATGTCAAAGGTAAAACGTAAAAAAGACAACAAACATTATTAATAATTATTTTTTTTACATTTCACATAGAATGTTCATTTTTTATTATTATTCTTAAATTCTATTTATTAATATATTCTCTTTAATAATATTCTAATTTTTTTTGTTTTTTGTTTATTGGTTTGTATTAATTTTTTTTTTTTTTTTTAGCATTATTAATTAAAATGTTATATAAAACGTTTTGAGGCTCTAACTATGGACATTGAGTATATATAATATTATATACTATATATACTCAATGCTATGGGGTATAGACGTTGTCATCACTCTGTTTAAGTAATTTCGTTTAATTTATAGCCCAAGCCACTTCAAAAAAAAATTAGCAAACAATTTTCATAGTAATATTTTATAGATATACCTAAACGATTATAATTCAAAATATTTTAAAATTTATTTTTTAATTAACTTCAATAATTTTAACGTATTGATTGTTCTGATTAAAAAATAATCATAATAATAATAGTGGGTGTTTTATATATTTTTGAATTATTTTAAAAGTTTTATATTTTCGTGTACTTATGATG